AAAGACAACTTCACATATGCAGTTTCTTCGTTTAACCTTAGGTTGCTTCAAGGTTCAACCCAATACCATTAACAATACTTCCAACCATTTTTACATCTCTGGAACTATTATACAACCCAATTTTACCCACTGAAACAACCCAGTCATCTTCCCATAGGTCCAAAAACAACCCAAAATCACGCAGAAGCAAGAAAAGAAGCTGGAGCCGCCTCCAGAATATTGGAGCCGCCTCCCTTCTTGGTGGAGCCGGCTCCTCCCTTATTGGAGCCGGCTCTACCCTTGTAGAGCCGGCTCCAATCCCTTGTGGAGCCGGCTCTCACAACCCCTAGAGCCGGCTCCCTCCTTTGGTGAGCCGGCTCACCTCCTTTGAGAGCCGTAATTCCTTCTCTGGTTGTCTTCCTCGCCTCTGGCTAAGTTCAAAACCTATTTAGTATTTTAAAACCTTGTTCCAGTGTTTATACCCTATCCTAGATTATATGAGAAACCCCCCAACATGCATCAATAATCCCAATTAACCAAGCTTGAACCCAAGACACAGCATACATCAGTTCACAATTCTTTAAAAATTTGCACAGTTTGATTCACGAGATTTATTTCCGTTTGAACATGCATACAAGATAAATTTAATCAATAATCTGTTTTTAATCTTGGTTTAATACTTAGAGTCTTTCTAAGCCTGTACAGAACACAGATTAAAGAGATAGAGTGGAAACAGAACTTGCCTTCAGTTTCAAACTGTGGAACTGCAGACCTCTGTCAACTCCGGCAACGATGATTGTCTTAATTCCCTCTGTTGCTCCTAATTCAATCCCCAACCTTCTCCTTGAATTCTTTCTTCAATCCCCAAAGGTTCTCTCTGAAACTCTCTACAACTCTCTGTTTTTCCCTCTCTGAAAACCTGATACATGAATGCAGGTTGTGTGATGTTTGTTTGCTAAACCCTAAACCCGCATGAAGAAATATATTTATAGGCTTAATTCTCCAACCCTAATCTGTATATAGCTAGAGCCCTAATGCAAACCCTTAGTCGGCTCATGCAATTGTCCAAGTTACAATACACGGCGACTTAATACAACCTAGGTCGGCTACAGTAACTCCAACCCTAACTGACATATACGTAAATCAACTTAATTATATAATTTAACGTTTAAATAACTTCCACAGAAATATAATCCTAATCTAAAATAAATTAACATTTAACTTAACCCAATTCAAAATAATCTAATAACAAAAACAATAATATTAATAAAAGAAAACAATTAATTCAAATAAAAGGACAAACAAACAGATAATCAATTATCAAACAAATAATCCAATAAAATGACACATAATAAAATAAAATGCACTTAAATATAATAATTAAATTCCAGAACTGTCCTTTTAAAATTAGGGGTATTACATTCTTCCCCCCTAACAAAAGGAATTCCGTTCTCGGAATTCGCTCTTACTTTCTTCCAGTAATCCAGGAAACTGTGAGCGAATGACATCCTCCCGTTCCCAAGTGGATTCAGCCTCATTGTGATGACTCCACTGCACACGAACTAAAGGAATAACCTCATTACGAAGGATTTGATCCCGACGGTCGACAATACGACACGGTGGCTCCACATAAGTTGCATCCGGCTGCAACTCAATCTCCCCTATATCGATATGCTGGTACCGATCCTCATCTCACAGAAATTTCCGTAACATGGAAACATGAAACACGTTGTGCACGCGATCCAAATTATCCGGAAGTGCCAACCTATAAGCAACCACTCCAACGCGATCCGTGATCATGAATGGACCAACAAATCGTGGTGACAACTTCTATTTCTTTCCAAAGCGCATAACACCTTTCATAGGTGACACTTTGAGTAGAAGCTGATCTCCAACCCTAAATTCCAAAGCACGAGTACGCCGATCCGCATAACTCTTCAGCCTACTCTGAGCGGTACTCATGCGATCCCGAATAAGAGCAACTTTCTCAGAAATATAATCCTAATCTAAAATAAATTAACATTTAACTTAACCCAATTCAAAGTAATCCAATAACAAAAACAATAATATTAATAAAAGAAAACAATTAATTCAAATAAAAGGACAAACAAACAGATAATCAATTATCAAACAAATAATCCAATAAAATGACACATAATAAAATAAAATGCACTTAAATACAATAATTAAATTCCAGAACTGTCCTTTTAAAATTAAGGGTATTACAGTTTTTTGTTTTAATTGACGTGGCAAAATCTTCACTGTTGGATATAGTACAGGATATTAGGGGAGAAAACTATCCAGGCAGATATAAATCACCATTTCCAAACACCGTGGGTTTGTGGTGGATTTGAGAAGCGATGATTGTTCATTTGTTGCGGATTTGGTGGTGGGTTTGAGTAGCAATGGTTCGTTTGTCGTAGGTTTTCTGCTTTGTTCATTTGCTGGATTTTCTGTGATGGTGGTGGTTGTGCCTAGGTTTAATATGTGCAAGTGAAAGGGGGTGATATACTAAGGGCAAAAATGTCATTTAAAAGTTATGATATTTTATAATTTAAATTAATAGGGCAATATTGACTTTTCACAATTTTAAGGATTTGTTTGGATTCATTCTTTCACAAGGGGGTGTCTTTGTCTAAAAAAGAATCAACTTGTATATAGATGTCCTTATAGAAAACCTCAGGGGGTGTCGATATATTTTACCCATAATAATAATAATAAGATTACAAAATTATCCGCCATATCATGTCCAAAATGTATCATTGTCGTATCGTAGTCGTATCCAACCAAAAAAATAAAATATTTAATTTTTAGGTTACTTCTAACTATGTCGACACGGGTTCCCAATTATGATAGTGTCAGACTTCTTATAGCGCTCTATGATTCATTATTGAACACATTCAGTTCTCTCGTCCCACATCTACGAAACAATTAATAAAAAAAATTCCTAAACTACCTTCTTTAAAAAATTATATTTTTTTAGAGAATTATAAAGAGACTATTTCTCAAAACAAAGGACTTGGTTTAATTTTCTGAAAACATCTCTAAAAAATTTAAAACACACTAAAAAAATGTTTTCAAATAACTATAGAAAAACAGTAAAAACGAACCCATTTATGACTGTATTTTCATAAAACAATTTCAGAATTCTTCATCAAACAATTTTTGTATATTTTTCAAAAACTGTTCTAAATAAATAAAAAAAAAAAGAAAAAGAAAAAAGAATTTGAACCAAGCTGGACCAAACATTTTCTTAATGGAGTTTTAAAAAATAATTTTCGAAATCTATCAACCAAATAAATTTTTATACATTTTCTGATGATTTTCAATTCTCAGAAAATAAAAACCATTATTAAAGAATTGAACAAAAAAATCCTAAGTCACTACATGAATTTACAAATGCTATAAATTTAACATACATCCAGGGGTGGTCAAGTGGTATCTTCTAATCCTTCCAAATTAATACGGGGAAGATCTAATGAGACAAACAGGTCTACCGGAAAAGGGGGAAAAAAAGACGATTATGTAATAAATGCGTTTAATAAACAAACAAATTTGTCCGTTAATAAGTGTTCACAGTTCGGGTTTTGACAGTTAAATAGTTATTTGTTGAATTGATGTCGGTTAGACAGCTTAAGTCGAACAGCTTAACTTAACGGCAGTTAACGGTTCGGATTGACTTAAAAAAACATCACTTTGCCTAACTACCCTTACAAAGATCATTTGTAATTAACATTTCAAAATTTAATCTTTCTTCCTTCCTTCCTTCTATATGCTCGACATTTTGAGTTCAACTCTAGGTGCTGTTTGAAAACTCAATTCAGTCCTCGAATTAAGCGCTTATCCAATTAATTAATTTGGATATAATTAAAAGTGGTAAGCCCCACTTAAAATGATTACTTATCAGTAAATGCTGAACGCTGAACATTCAAAAAGATTTTTAAAAAATATTGATTTTTAAATTACTGCTTAAAATTTTTAGCATTTAAAATTTAATTTCTTAAAAATTTTAATACTTAATTTTTAGTTTTATCAAACAGCACTTCATAGTTCATTTTCAGTCGATGGTTTATTCTGAGTGTTCGATTTTGCTAATTTCTCTGATTTAAAGAGTTGCTCCTATCGAAAGAAAGATCGATAAATTCACGAGGCAATCAAATAGAGACTATTCAACACCTAGGACACGAAATTTTAAAGAGGTAGAATCCAATTGGAGCCTTGATTGGTCTACAGGTTCTTTATTGTTAGGTTTAATATTTTAATTTGCATATATAATTTTTATTTGGCATCATATCAAACATTAAGACGCCAACATATTATTTTTCCCACAATATTATTAGATCTTAAACTACTTTAAAGGTAAATACTCACATATTCCTAAGTGAAAATTTAAAAATGAAATTGAATTATTAATTTTTAAAATAAAAGTATATGTTACTGCATATATATATTTTACGTGAAAAATGATATTGATAATTTTTAAAAAAATAAAAAGTATATGCACTATATATATATATTTTGCTTTGGGAAGTGAAGAGTGAAAAAATGATTCGATAATTCAATTGACTAATATGTTTTCCAATTTGTTTTCAAAAGTTGAACTAGGAAAAACCTCATTTCAGAATCAGTATCGTAATATTCTAAAATTGTTTTCAAATGATGTAATAGTTTGGAATCAGTCTTGGGATTGTCTAAAATTGTTTTCAAAGTTGTTCAGAATTACTGTGACAACTTGACCGAAATGGACATCACGTGAAAATTACAATTCCTTAAAAAATGTGTATAAAAAATTTAAAATATACTAGCTCGGGCTCCGAAATGCTGCTTATTTAATTAATATTATTAATCGGGATTGTCAATACAGCCAGGAACAGGGTCACCCAAATCCATTACAACCTAGAATCTTAACGCCGTCAGCTCCGCCGCAACGACGTTAGGAAACGGCGTTTCATCTAACGGAAAAGCAAAGGCTAAAACGGAAACGAAGACTGTATATAAATCTTCTCTATAGAAGCACAAAGAGGAGAGAGAGAGAGAGAGAGAGAGAGAGTCCTCTCCGACCTACAATCCCATCTTTCGCCGCACTGCTCGTTATATATATATATGTGTGTGTGTGTATATATGATCAGAGTATATATGTGTATAGATAGAGAGAGAGAATTGGAAGGAAATTCTGCAACATTTCGTGCTTTCAAAACCAATTGATCCCAGTGGACCTACCTACTATCTTCAAAAGTTACTGTTTTTGATTGCTTTCTGAGTACACTTCCAAATTCTAGCCGAGTCTGTCTCGTTTTTCAGAGGAATCTGAACACAATTATGCAAAGTTTATCGTAACTCGTATCAAAGGTATTCATCTTTTGAATCCTTCTTCTGGATCTCCACTTTTTTCTTTCTTAACAATGTTCTTGTATGAGAATTATAAACCCAAACACAGATATATTTATATTTTTTTTTGTTTTCATGATGAGTTTTAGTTGAATTATGGTAATTTGATTATAATTATTTGTTTTAATATCTGAATTTTGATGGCAGATTCGCTCAAATCTGTGATACGGAGTTCTGGCAGATTATTTCTGAATCTCAAGTTGAATTGTCCGTGCTCGAATTTTCTCGGACATAACCGAAGCCAATTTTCTCGGGAAACATGCAGTGAAGCCTTTTCTCGTGTGTCAAACACTGCTTCCACAATTCGCATCTCAAACGCAACGCTAAAACTAGAGGTCGATTGCGCAGATTAATTCTCGTTTTTGAGAGCGCAAACTTTATAAAGAAGACTCCACTTTTTCTGTATAAACAGATCTGAGAAGCACTTGAAGTGTTCGAATCTAAAACTTCAATTTCGCTTTTCATTTTTGAATTTCGAAGAATTCAACACTCTATTTGTGATTCATCGGAAAATTCAGTATTTCTCCGATAGTAGATTTCTTCTGGTGGTTATATATTACCGAAATTCGATCGAATTTCAACAAAATCACTATCAAATATCTCAATTGTCGATGGAGCTTCCTCAACCCCGTCCCTTTGGAACCGAAGGTAACAAAAAAAACAATACTATATCCATACTTACCTTTCTCTCTCTATATCTACATGTATGTATGTATGTATATATATATATATATTGACGATGTATGTAGACGTAAAATTTTTGAAGTTTTAACATAGTTTTGTTGCAAGTTTTTTTACAGGTAGGAAGCCAACACATGATTTTCTGTCACTGTATTCACCTGTTCAACAAGATCCAAGGCCTTCTCAAGGTAATTTTCTCTTTCTTTTCTTTTCCTTTTTTTTTTTTTTTTTTTTTCATATTTTGATATCAAAAAATAAAGAATAATATAAAAAACAAAATAAAGAAACAAAAGTGTAATAATGTTTTGATGTTTATGTGTGGGGGTGTAGATATCTATATTATATTACCAATGACTCAAATGTGTGTTTGTGTGTGTACATATACCCGTGACCCCATTAAAATGATATAGATCTGGGTCATGTATAGAGTGGGCCACATATTGGATGGGCTGACATCGCCAAGTCCAAAAAGGGGAAAGGGGTTGGGACTAAGCACTATGGGGATTGTAATAGTGTTTGGCAGGGCTTATTAGGTGGGGCCCAACCGGAGTTGGACACTATTGAAATAGACATCATCAGGCCCTAAGCAGGTGCATGGTATTCAGATATCCAAACCGGTGTTCTGTTGTGTCGACTCACACACGATTCGTGGGAGATAAATAGTGTTTAGTAGTGTGTCAAGTGTGGCACTAGTTGACAACTCTGATGTTTTTGGTAAGAGAAATCATCTTCTGTTGTCGCTTATCTAATGTTACATGCATGCATTCTCTGTGGTCAGCTATTCCACTAGTATGTTTCTTTTAATTAAATTGTCGATCACATATAATAATAATAATTTAAAAAGTTATAATGAGGAGATTTCAAGTCTCTAGATCTAATGGGTGAGAGCGCATGAGTTATTTTTTCAACGTCTAAATAGGTAACAACTGTTTTTTTAAATATAACTTTTTTTTTTTTGTTTCTGTTTGCCAGGGTAAATCCAGACCAATTTCATGGGAATTATTATTACTATTGTTATTGTTTTAAACCATTCACATGGGTGTTGCTTCTCTAAATTGTAGTTTTTTTTATTTTTTAATTATGTGGTTTTATAGTTTAAATATAATTTCGTTATCTTTAGGTCTGTTAATCCTGTCAAATTAAGCAAAACAGCTGGGACAGGTTTATGCAGAAATTTCATACTCGTATTATTTCTTGACCTTGCATTAAATTTGGGCACCTTGTCCGGATCTGATTTTCTGATGAATTAATGGGCTATAGCTTGTTAAACTAATTAATTCGGTTGCGCTATAGATAGGAGAAGAATGAAATGCTACGGGTTTCACATTCATCTTCTTTATATGTGTATGTGTGTGTGTGTGTGTGTGTGTGTGTGTGTGTGTGTGTATAGCTAAATATTTGGATATAAAAGTTGTCTCAATTATATAAATTTATTTTTTCTTCCTTTTCACGTTGACATACAAAAGCAGGTAGTTACCTAAAAACTCATGATTTCCTACAACCACTAGAACAAGTAGGGAAACACAGTGCCAAGGAGGTAATTTCCATGGAGAGAACAACTTTGGAGAAGCCTCCTCCACCAGCTCCTCCCCCTTCAATTGAGCACCTTCTCCCGGGAGGGATTGGGACTTATAGCATAAGCCATGTTTCTTACATTAATCAAAGGGTTCCGAAGCCGGAGGGTGCTATATTTACAGTGGCACAAGCTAGTAGCACTGACAGAAATGAGGAAAACTCTAACTGCAGTTCATACACTGGAAGTGGATTCACGTTGTGGGAAGAATCTGCGGTGAAGAGGGGAAAGACAGGGAAGGAGAATATTGGTGCAGACAGATGCGTCTTAAGAGGTAAATTGACATATCCTTTGCCATATTTCATTTTGAAACATTCACATGCAAGTGACCAACACACACCAAGCATGAACATGGCACGTGCATGGGAAAGTAGTCATAATTATATTCTTAGTGGACAAAATTAGATGTCCCAAGAAAAATATCAATTGACCTTCCAATATTGTTTCACATTGTATTTGCATGTGCATGCACATTAATGATTACCAGGAAACTGAAGATACTAATACAGTACTAGTAATACAATCGCTCTGAAGGAGGGTAAAAATTTGAGAACAACCTCATATGTTTAGTAAAACTTGACACTAAAATGAATTCATTGTCATAAGACATCCAAGTATGTTTTATGATATAAGTGAAGCCTCCTTGGACTGAATAGATTTGTTTCGCCTACTCAATAAGCTGGGATAGTTTTTTGTTTTTTTTTGTTTTTTGCAGGTTGGGGGTACTGGGGATAAGTTATTTTACATCTCGATAAATTTTTCCATTATAAAAGCTGATTGTTCATTGTTTAACCAACCATAGAAGTTTAAATTGACAAATGAAAAGGCTGGTTTAATAATGAAAATAATCACTTTGTACAAAAATAAGTATTAACAATTATGTATATCTCAAAATTTCCTCCTAGTATTCTGCACAGCCTGTGCTAACAGTGGTACCTGCACTGCTATGTTTGTTTCTGAGTTTCAACTTTCCCAATATAATTTTGCAATATCAAGGCACTTAAAAATATGACAATGAACTGGAAAACATTTAATTTGTTTTTTTTAATAAAGGAGAATACATTATTGGAAGTCTCACATGCACTGGACTGGGCCAAATCAACCAAGACCTGGTTGGCTAACCCAATTGGCCATGTTGAATTTATGAATTATATCAATAACATGAAGCTTGAAGGCCTTCACCATCAAATTAAAAACTTCCCGCCGATTTTGTTTGTCAGAGGCAGGAGCGAAGATGGGAGGGCAATGGATGACGTCATCAGAGCGACCATCACTTTCATCTTCCAATAACCAACGCAATAACACCACCTTCAGCTCTCGCTGTTCTTCTCAGTCAGACACTTTTCTCTACCTTTCCATTCACTTCCTTCTTATATTCTACTTCTTACCTCTTTATATTTTAATATATTTTCAATTATTCTAAGGATTATGTATTAATTTATTGAAACTGGGCTTTTAAATAATTTTCACAGGACAACATCAGGGCAGAAAAATCAAAGTTTCATGAATATGATAAAATCTGCCAAAGGTGCCAATGAAGAGGAAGAAGATGACGACGACGAAGAGTTCCTTCTCAAGAAAGAGCCTACATCCGACTACAAAGGTATATATTTCACATGCTATATATATGTATTTGTATGCAAGTTTGTGATGCTTCTATTTTTCCTCCATTTCTATCTTCTGGAACTTAAAAATATTAATACATTTTTTAGGAAATCTAACAGTAAAGGTGGATGGGAAGAGCACCGATCAGAAAGCTAACACCCCGCGATCAAAGCACTCTGCAACAGAGCAGCGTAGAAGGAGCAAGATTAATGACAGGCAAGTTAAACATTTGTTCTCTTTCAAAACTGGATTAATCTAGCTGTGTTATCTGATCAAAATTGTGTTCTATGGATGCCATAAAATCGGGTTGTATTAAAGTATCATTTTCCTATTATTCTGTTAGTACTAGATCAAAAACTAATACCAGAGATCGAGTGTGACATAAGTTCTGACGCCATCCACATTGAGATCTCCTAAATTATATCTCGTTGGATTTCTTCCATTCTTTTAGTTGCAGAGAAGGGCATGTGATTATTGATCTTTGGTAACTCTTCTCTTTATCTGTTTCCATCATATTCTACGGTTAACAATGTGTTTCACTTTAATGTACAAAATGGTAGTTCTATTTCAGTTACTAATGAGTTAATAGTTCTATAAATTTTCTTGAGAGAATATGATATACTTTATGATCTCTAATTAAAAAAATTATTTAGTAACTTATTCTTGTCTAAACTCTAAAGGGCAAAGTACTAGAAATCTATAAATGGCTACAACACTTCTTTGATAAGAGTTATTATTACATATCCAATTGTCAGAGAATGTCCTTTGGTTGAACTTTGTAAGCTAGTCCCTTCTTTTTCAACTCATTAAGTACCTTTCCTTGTGAAAAAAGAAACAAAAAAAGAGAAGAAAAAAAAGAGAGAATAGAAAAAGATTTTTTTGTAATGTCAAAAGGTAAATAATGATGAAAGAGATATGTGTCTCTCTATAGTGGATCAAGTTGTTGAGATATTCCCATGTCTTGCGAATCTTGGTCATGTTAATAAAATTTGGGCCCTGATTTTCATGTGCCCTTAGGTGCTGGGCCTTCAGGGTGGTCAATGGCATCATTGATGGTCACATTTCAAGATATTGAAATTTGAAAATTTTCATGCAGATTTCAGATGTTGAGAGAGATCATCCCTCATAGTGACCAAAAGCGGGACAAGGCATCATTCTTATTAGAGGTATGTGCATATTTCATGGTAATATGTGTGTGTGTGTTTTTTTTATGTGAAAATGATCTGACTACTCAGAATTAAATATCTGAATACATATGCAGGTTATAGAATACATTCAATTTTTGCAAGAGAAAGTTCATAAATATGAGGGGTCATACCAAGAGTGGGACCACTATCCAGCAAAGTTGATGCCATGGGTAAATCCTATACTTGGTGTAATAGAGTTTCCGTGTATTGCATCTGTTTTCAAGGTTTGGATATAAGAAAAGTTTTATCCTAGGAAGTTGATATCATAAACTTTAGACTTTTAGCAGCATGAATACAGAATCACCGATCATATAATTTGGCATTCTTTCTAAGCTATATATGACAAGAAAAAGAAAATAAAAATAAATAAATAAATAGCGTGGTTGAGGTACTGGTAAGATTCAACAGAAAGTGTGGCTCTAAACAGAGCAGTAATCAAGGTCTGCACACCCGTCTGTTATAGTTGGGACAAAGGTTATTTTGATTTGAGTTGTAAGCAGGCCTGTGTGCACAGCCGCACATGAATGCTAAGAACTGGCTGAGAAAAATGTGACTTAAATTCATTTATGCAGTAAATGAGTGTCATTTTAAACTTGAACGCTGATATACTTCCATTTGTTGAAACAGAGAACCAGTCACAGGCCTGCAGAAGGATATGTTGATCAATCTCAAGGGATGAATAGTGGGTCTGGTCCACCGTTAAAATTTTCTGAAAAGTTTGAGGAGAGTAATACAATTGTGTCCCCAGCCATTCCTAGGAATGCACATAATCCAGTAGAATCTAACATGAGCACAGCTACAACCTTCAAAGCAATGGATTACAACCCGGGATTAACAAATAAGGTAGTGCCGATTCCTGTGCCCTTGCAGCCAAACATCTTCACTCCTGGTGGAAGCAGTGGTGCAATAGCACCGATTGCACCCCGGCTGGCTTCTGATGCAGAGAACACGTCATCTCATCCTCAATCCCAATTATGGCAGAGCAGATCCTGCACCAACAATAGTGTTGTGGCAAGTGATAAGCTGAAAGAACAGGAGCTGATTATTGAAAGTGGTACAATTAGCATCTCAAGTGTGTATTCTCAAGGGTAAGTCTTATAATTACTCTTCTTTTTTCTTTTTCTTTTTATGTGTTTCTATGGTGCATTTTCTTTGAAGAAGTATAAATAAAACCTCTTGGGTTTTGGCAAAAATTAAAGGGGTTAAGAAATGTAATGTTAGTTCAGATGACTGTCTATGCATGATTAAGATACTTCGATCAGAACACTGCATTCCAAATTTTAAGAAGAAAAAACCAAATCAATGACTATCTTCATTACAATAAGTATTGCATAACGATAGCTTCACATGAGGATTTCACAAATCTAACATTTGAAATGATTTTCTTCTAGTGTCTGACAACCTCAAGATGTAGTATGCTTTATTTTTCTCCCACATTTGCAGCATGGTTTGGAAAGTATTTGAAGCTCTTAGCAAGTGGAGGGTCTTAAAACATTTGAGAATTAAATCTCTCATTTGCATTTTAAAGTTCAAAATTATTTATTACTGGTATCTTCGTCACTTATTAGAGCTTCTTCATCGGCATGGCACAACACATTCATTCTATTTGACTGAGCTTTGTCATTAATAGAGTGATTGTTTGATTACTCGCATTAGTCTAAGTGGTATCGTCAGCTATAGGTTGGCTGCACAATAGACATCTTATCCTCTCTAGTAGTTCTTTCAAGTTTCAATCTTTGTCAGTGAGAATAATCCTGGCATTGTTACTTATCAAAATAATAATAATAATAATTCTGGCATTGTTACAGCGTTTTGATTTCTTCTCCTGGGGTTGCTAGTCGAGTTATTTGAGCTACTCACATTAAGATGATTTTTTATTGAACAGGTTGTTAAATACACTGACAGAAGCACTTCAGAGTTCTGGAGTGGACTTGTCACAGGCCAGCATCTCAGTGCAAATTGATCTTGGGAAGCAATCAAATACTAGGCCAACTGCTCCTGTATCTACTGTTAAGGTACATGGTTGTCTGATTCCAGAGATTTTTATCCATATATATTATTTATTGAACTTTTAGACTCAGATTGAATCTTCATCACATATTATCACAGAATCGTAAAATAAATTTTCATTTATATCAACGTAGGATGATGATGTTCGTTCAGACAGTCAAGCTATGACGCGCACTAGAGTTGCATACCGCGGAGAGAATTCTGATCAAGCCCTAAAGAGACTCAAGACAGGCAAAAGCTAGTATGGCAAGTCAATAATATTCTCTCTTTTTTGTTATCTGATTTATTCAATTTTTTGGGTTACCATTTCCGTCTTTCGGGTGGGGTACTATGGGAGAAAGGGCCTTATTCATGTCTTCTCCTGGTACAAACTACCCCAGTTGAGACCATGACCTATTTGTACATTTTAAGTGGTGTTACAGATTGTTGAGATGCACAGGTTCTCCTAACAAACATGTATTATTTATTTATATTTGTTTTTATATTTATAGAGGCTTCCATTCTGAGATTGAGAAGCTGTTTTGTCATTCAAGGCTTCCATTCATGTGAATTTTGTAACCTTGGCTTTCCAAACATAATTTCTTTTTGTGGGTAATATAAGATGTTTTTTTTTATTATTTATTTTTTTATAGTGAAAAAGTAGTGTTATTGTTATATGTAATTCCTTAGCTGCAGAACTTCTCTATTGCATTTTTGGATCTCTAAAATTGCATTTCTAATTTTTATCAGAAGTAACAGACTGCACATTTATATTAATGATTGCTGGAAATGGAGAGATCAGAAAATAAATCCCATTACCAGGAATTAAACACAAAGTAGTTACAATCATGCGGTCCTAATCAGTAAGTCCTAATCAGTAAAGATTATTTTTTTTAAACTATGCCATTCGACCACAATCATTAGGTGTGCAGTTCTAGAGATCACTCTTGAAAGAAAGTAGACCTAGTGGGAGGATCTCTAACTTTTCCTGTGGCACTAGATTGTCCAACACACGAAAAAATCCGAATTCTGAGTTCACGAATAAGAATGCTCCATTCGTTTTTTCTAATTTTTTTATTTCAAAAGATGCAAATCTTTATGCATTTGTTTAATGGATTGTTACCTTTTATTAGTTATTGCATAACGAGGACCACCGTTGAACCTCCTCGATTGGCCAAACAAACACCATTTGGCACGATGGTAATGTGGTGCGAAAGCAACGGTTGAATTCTTTTTTATATGGCTTTCACTTATCCACTTATGCTGTAGCACCAAGTTAGAGAGTACTAAATTCTTCACAATCTACACGAAGTTAGGACCTAGTAGTATCTATCTAGCACACACAGTACACGATGTTTGTGTGTGCATATATAGTATATATATATATATATGTGTATCCAACACTCTTGACTTCTCGATCCATTGTGGTGGCTTCTTGGATCATTCAAATGCATAAAAACAGAATGATTATACAAACACCGTCTTGGGATTGCTTTTACTAAATTCTATGTACAACTATGATGAGTACTGGAACTGGTATTACCTATGTAATATATAACATATGAGAGAGAAATTCCTGACTAAGACTTCCTTCCTCGAGGGTGATTTCTTGGATCATTCAAATTGAAAACAACAAAATAACGTCTTGGGATTCATCTTCTAATAATGTGCATTAGTCCTGTCATCTCTCAAATCTCCATTTTTTTATATAAAGATTTTTTTTCCTAAAATTTGCCAGGAACTTGTCTTCAAAGGCATGTTGCCTCACCATTTATTGTAAATTTTGTAATATATATATATATATATTGAAGAAAAGACTAGATACAGTTGCGAGGGGTCCAACAAAACTCTATTTTTTAAAGTGTTAAAAGAAAAAAATATATCAATCACCAAAGTGCTGTCCTCACGAGTCATTCATGACTCATTCTTTCACGGAGCAAGGGTTAGGAGATACGTCTAAGGCAGTGATTAAGCCAATCATTTTAGGGAAATACTCGGACAACACAACACCAAAAAACAAAAAATTCCAACTCGTGTCTCTCATCCTAATTCTAGCTTTATGTCAACAACTTTTATTTTGATGCCTCACAAATCACATCCCTTCTTTAATTTTCACTCACCTACCTCCTCATCCCTATCCCTTACCCACACCATTTTTACTTGATGTATTGTAACCATTATTACAATCATCAAGTATTACCTAGTGGTCCCTGGCACTTAACATGAGATGTGCCCAGTTGTCCCTCTCTCTCTCTCTCTCTCTCTCACTCACTCACACACACACACACACACACACACCCACCCACACCATCTTTGCACCTTCTGAAGATGTTATTAACAGGCCAGACTATTTCAAACAACTCAAAAAGGACCATGAATGTATGTGAACCAAAACTTAAAGAAAAAGGGTCATTGGCGTAGAACATGGAAGTAGCAACTTCCAAACCCCCCATTCCCATTTGCATAAACTAAATAATTAAATAATGAATCAATAGTTGATAATACACCTGATGATATGAATTCCGAGACATAGAACCACATTTTGACTGGCTTGAGTACAAGCAGCAATTTGCTAGAAAAAAAATCATAGGATCATGTAATGCTAGAAGCGAAAGCTTGCAAAATGAAGGATGAAAGATCATCATATAATGAATGCATAGCTCAGGAAATCAAATCTATATTCGCATCCCTCTGTTTACACTGCAGTTGATTCCATATCACCCCCCTGCAATGGCAGGGCAGCTTCTATACATGAATTGGATTATTAAAATATATAACGACATTAATGTACTCAGCTGCTTTCTTCTCATGCTTTTGTCAAAGTGTGTATCTCATCCCAATCATCTTCAACATTGCCTCCTAAGAACAAAATCCTTACCGTCCGTATAACGCTGTGTTGAGGACTAGCATCGCTAAATCTGTTGCAGAATTGCATTGTAAAGAAATAATCAAAAGCAACCACCTCCAGAAGTTCATGTATCACTCCTCAGTGGTTCATCTGGTGGTTGTAAACACTCCTCTGGGTTGGCATAGAAGTAATCTTCTTCTTTAGGTCTATCTGAGATCACCGACCTGCTGATAGGGTTCCCCATACGATCTATATGAGCTTCCTTAACAGCAGATGAGAACTCATCCCAACTCAGTGATCCACTAGTATATTGGTCTATCAACTCAACTACAAGCTTTCTGTCCAAAAGAATTGTCTTCTTGAACCCAAGGTATCTGAAACAGTAGCTCCCATTTCAGACAAAATAACATAAGTTCGATCCATCAATACTTCCACAAAACATCATTTAACTATAGACTTGGAAACAGAAACACTACAGACCAAAACCAATCAACTGGACATAAACAATAACCAAAAGAGAGAAACCTTCTAAATCTAATTGTCAGCCTCTGCTAAATCGTGACTACTTCACTTCAGATGGAAACTAAAAAGCAAGGTCAAAGAAACACGTTCAGTGCTTTTTAAAAATGCTACTAGGTTCTTCATTTAAGTTAACATATTGCTAACTTCTGAAGACGGGTTATATAACTCATGGATTTGAAATCCATTATCCTTTGTGAAGGCCGAAAGCCAGTTTTAATAGCTAAGCTATTAAGATATACCATTTGACATAAACAAATAACAACTAAATGATTAGCAGAGCAGTACCTGCGATGCCCTTCAACAACTTTGGCCATGTTTCCGTCATATGTTGGGAAAAAAATATCGCTCTCCAGTGAGACAAGATAATCCAGGGCCGCCATCTGCGATGAGTGATTTTGGAAAAACCTAAGATCTGATGGTACCAGCAGTGTCTCCTTCCTGACCTGTTAGAACAAATCCAAAAAGTAAACTATAAGAATAAGAAGAAAGATAGCCGAGTATCAGCTATGTAGAATTGGCTTCAGCTTTAATCAACTAACCAGTCTTGGATACTCTGCTGCAAGGCTGGCCATTCTCCTATCCCCACCATAAATTTCTCCAGCTGCAATGTAAATCTGGATGTCGCGATCAATGTCCAGTGCCCTTAGAGTAAGAGCAGTTTCCTCAGGTGTCAAAGGGCATAAACCATCTTTCCTTTTCAACTCGGAATTTATTATTTTCTCTTTCCACCAAGGATAAGCATATCTGTCAAGATTACAAAGTTAAGAAAAATATAAGATGAGGAAATCTATTTTTAAAACTGCCTATTAGTTAAAAAGGAAACTTGCTCACCTCATTCTTGTCAACTCTTCCGCTTCCTCAGTGTTGCAGCCCTGAGTACAGCCAGAAAATGCTAACATGTCCATTTCATATCTGAGATGAAGTACTAGGAAGGGACCATTTTGCCTTAGAAGCCTAATGATTCTTCTACCCAACTCCTCTATCTGAGGAGTGAATCTCAGAGCATTGAAATTTACTCGGCAGCGCAGCTTTTGAATCTCCATCGGTTGATCATTATTGGCAAGCCGAGCATCAGTTCTATTTAAATGCACAACTTTGTACTTCTGTATCAGAGGAAGTATCTGCATCCAACAGATGAGAACAGCACTATTACTCTTGGAAAAGGAGACCAGCGAGGGACAAGAAATTCAAGCAATATAAACAAACAATCTATTCACCTGATTATGATAATATGATATGTCAGACCAGCTAATGGGTGGCATGGTATAAATCATGCCTAGCTCCACTCTCCTCTTGACCCTAGGAGGCAGCTCTTTCAATATCCGAACCTCATCTCTCAAGGATGTAATGAAATGATCGACATTAAATATGTCTTGAAACTCACTGCAATACAAGTAACGGGCATTCATTGTAAATGAGCTATATTAACTAAGTAATGCCTCAGAGAAAATACACACACACAGACTCACACACATATAAATCACAACAGACATCCAGAACTTAAAGAAATTCTATGATTTTCTAATGTATACAGGAGAAACTGGCACACCTGGGATCAGCCCAGAAAGAAGTTTTATCAAGCTCAGGAACTATGAGTGTGACATTTAGATATCTTGCGATTGCAACCATGTCGCAGATCTGAACAGTGAATAGAGAATTAAAGCTAATAAATAACTACGTTTAGTAATAACAAATTAAGCAGTCAGATAAATCCGAAAGAAATTTTACAGAGTCTGATCCAATACAAAAACCACTCACCGCTGCCCGCATTTGATTAAGCCCTCCATTGCATGAAACCATGAGATATCCATTGTTTTTATAAACCCCTAATGGCAGCACAACATATACAGAGTAAATCGTAGGATAGAAATCGGCCAATTAGAATTTTGGTGCAGGAAGAATATCAATAGTAAAGATAAGAGACATAAATTTATTTTTTTAAACAATCAATAGAACAAGCTGTAATTTCTAAATCTAGCCGATGCATATGCGACAGGAAGGGGAACATGGGATAATTACACATTTACCTTCATAGGGAGGCAAGAAGTATACCCCGTCAAAATTAATCATATAACTTATGAATTTCTCAAATAAGGAATTGCAACATAGCAATCATTGTGCTTATATTACCTCCAGGATTACAACAACTACATAAAATTATCATGTCTTTTCATTAAATAGTTCTTATATTACTTCCACATCCTGACTGTTTATAATGATAAAATTTTGGAATGTGGGTTTATTTTCTGGATAATTCACACGATAGCAACAATTACATAAATTCTTGTGCAATGTAATCAAATAATTATTTCATTATCTCCAGAAATAATAGCAATATAGTTTAGGCAATATTTTGGTTTTGTTTTGTTCTGTTTTCCTCTTCCTTTTTTGTCCACTTAATCAAATAATTACCATACAAATTGCAAATGGCAGAAAAAACTATGACTTTTTCATGAATAGTTTTTAAATTCAACTCTCCAATTCAAATTAAGAACAGATAACAATACACACACAATCACAAAGAGAAGAATAGAAATTTACTCTTTGGCGGAAGAACTCTCGGTGGAACTACCGGCGACAACTTGACGTCCAAAGCAGCCGAATCCTTGGAAAAACAGGAAGGCCAACCCTTCAAACCCCTAGGTCCCCACATCTCTCCGAATGCCGTCAGCTGAACCAAACAAGTCCATAACAACACTGACGTTGTTGCCCTAATCATCCAGAGCTTCATTCTTGACCGTGAAACTATCGAATTCTTCAGCTTCTCAACTCTACTCAATCCTGAAGTCTTCAACCCCATTCCCCACCTCCTCCTCTCCCTCTCCCTCTCCCTCTCCCTCTCTCTCTCCTCACTCCTCTCTCTCTCTACCCTGCACATATCAACCCTAGCCCCATGCATTCACACACAGACCTTAGTCTTCTACCACATCTGATCACAGCAATCAATAATTACGGATTCAAATTGTACAACAAACCAGTCTCAACAATCAATGCCGCACCCGAATAGTGTGAGGCAGAGGACCAGAAGTGACACCAAATCAATCGAAAATATACTGAAAATGACAGTTTTTGATTAAATTTCGATTGCAAGAATCTTCACGATCCAAGATTGCTAAAAATGGAATGAAATGAAACTCCAACTGAGCTCAAAATTCAAATCTCACCAAACACTACCCAGAAAAGGCAACATTACAAGTCAATTCCACTCGAAAAAAGCAATCCAAAACTTCGATTTTCCGGCTATACTCAAAGATTCGTTCCTGAAACAGCACAACAAACCCCAATTTTGTCATACATTACCAAAAGCTTCAATTTAAAACCGGTCCCTTTAGCAATCGACGAACCCTAATTGGAAAAGTAACCACTTTTTAGCGAGGAATGACACAAAAAATGAATAAGATCTTTCGATTTCTAAAGCAATTTTTTTCGAACCGAACCTATCTGAGGCTATTCTGCAATCTGGTGTAATTTTCCCCCCACTGAATGATGGGTAATCGCCGGGATCAAAGAGCCGCCGGAATCTGACGACGTCTTCGACCGGCGATAACAAAAACCGGTAGAGAGAGAGAGAGAGAGAGAGAGAGTTTTAGAGAGAGGGAAAGAGAGCACCTCGACGTGGGTGCAAATACGCACAAGGGAGCGAGTAGTCCTAGTCGTACAACACTTGATCGCTTCTAAACCATTGTCTGGTTAGCGAGCAATGGTCCGCTGTACTAGGGTTCACACTACTACCGTGCTTCAACCGTTGGATTAGGATTTTAAAATATATCTATCCAACTTTTTCTTCTTTTTTTCTTTTGAAAAACATGTTTTAGATAATTCTACTAATTAACTTGAAAATTATGCAAATAGTGTGATAAGGATAAGACACCTAAATTCATTTTAAAAATCTTACAAGTAATTGCGTGTCAAACTTTTATTTTGAAATGTTCAAGATACATTGCTTTGCTACATATACTTTTCTTCTTTATTTATTTATTTATTTATTTTTGTGCTTTTAAGATCTCAAATTATTAATTTCATCAATTTAAATAGTTTTACAATTTTCCTTTTTCTTATTGTAAAATAATTATATTATTATCTAATCTATAATTGGAAAATTTTGTTAGATTTAAAATTGTTAGGTTTTTATAAAAAGAAAAAGGAAAATTCAAATTGTAGGACCATCTAAGGAGTTGAGATTTCAATGTATCACATTTTAGACGGGACAATTAGATTCATTGAATCTTCCTCCCAACTAATTTAGGTAATATAATCTGCCTATTTTAAAAGTTTACCTGTTTTAAAAGTTTAAATGGCGTTGAATTTAATGTGTATCTTCATTCATTAAGATTCTATTTAACAAAACTGAAAGTTTATTGGACTAATTTTAAGTTTTCTGAAAGTCTGTCAGATTGAATTTTAAGTTTGAAATTGACTAATTTTAAGTTTTCTGAAAGTCTATTAGATTGAATTTTAAGTTTGAACTTTGAATTGTTAGTTATAAATTATTATTATTTTTTATTTTATTATAGCTTTTTTAGTTATCTCAATCCCACAACTTATGGGAAAGTACTCATAATCAAAACGTTTTCATGGACTTCTTCTTCCTTGCCATATTACATACCAATAATTTTATTTGTGATTTTATTTTAAATTAGTGGACTTTGTGCATTTTAAAAGTAATTTTCTTTAATATAGAAAATATATTAACATAGGAAAGAGGGCAAAAAAAAATAGCAACTTCAATTCAATTTTTTGAGTATATATCTTTGGGAGGCTCTTTCTATTAAATTTTTAAATAATTAAAAAAAAATTATAGTTTTTTCTATCATAAATGAGTGATCTCTTTATCATGAGTAAGAACCCCTTTCTATCAAATTGTCAAATAATTAAAACTAAAAGTTATAATTTTTTACCATTAATGAATGACCTCTTTCTTATCAATAAAAACCCTATTTTATATAATTCATTTAAATCTTTTTGTAAATGTATTTTGATTTGTTATATTCTGATTAAGGTTAAATTTGAAAGATATACCCAACTTATATGCAATAATATTTTTTTTTCGTACATATATAGAGTAATTGAAAAATACAGAGAGTGGAGAAGATTATATATATATATATATATAAAATAAAAAAACATATACTAAAAAAAAATATTAGTAGAGAAAATAAAATTAGAGATAGACAGAGAAACAGTGTAATAGTTCGTTCTTTCCTTTTTCTTCGATTGACAATTTGTTTAGTTTGCTAAAATAAGAAACACACGTGCATAAAGAATAAAGTATAATATGTATTCAAATAGAGAATATTTATAACATCTTTTTAGTTAGGAAAATTACTTAATTGGCGACCATAGAACCTCGATAAAAATGGACTCATATAAAAATCTAATGTTACTATCTTCAAATTTTAACTCAAACACACTTCTTTTCATAATGTGATTATCCTAAAATCCTCCAACTCAAACTCAAACACGATTCTTTCTATAACATTATTATCCTAAAATTTCATCTCAATTCTCATATATGATTATTTCCATCATTTTTTTTATTTTTATATATTTATAATAATACATAAACAAACTCTTTTCTCATATATATATATATATATTCATTTTCACAAATGGGTTTGCATATCTGGAAACAAAATTTTCATCAGGAGTTTTGAATATCAACAAAAATGATGATTGAAGAATTTAAATTCTTATTTTATTAATTTGTTTGTGTGTTTTATTTTATTTTATTTTATTTTTTTATCATAGTTATTGTTTTGTTAAATTTTTAATTGTTACTTTATTTGAAAGTTTTTTTTTTTTGGTAAGTAAAGAGAGTTATTTTTGTTAATTTATTTTTGGAGAGTTTTTGTTTTGAAAGACATTTTATATTTTCGTTTTAAATTATCTATTTTTGCACTGTCATGTGTGAACTCAGTGAAGTATCTGATTTGTACTTGTCAGGCCAAATAGTATTGTTATTTTAGTTAGAAAAATGATTTAATTGACAACTACAAAATCTCGATAAAAACAGACTTATATAAAAATTTAATATAATTATTCTAAAATTTCAACTCAAACATAGTTCATTTTATAACGTGACTATCCTAAAATCGCAAGATTCTTTCCATAATCTTATTATCCTAAAATTCCATGCTTTCCATCACTTTTATTTTTTATTTTTTATTATGTGGTTAGAATAATACATAAACAAACTCTTCCCACACACACACACACACATATGTTATTTTCACAAATTGGGTTTGCATATCTCCAAAACGTATTGGAATGGTTTTATAAGAATTTTATAAGAAATTAGTTTTAATTATCAACAAAAAAATCTAAATTCATATTTTATTAATTTATTTGGTTTTTTTATTTTTTTATTTTTTTTATTTTTTATCATTGTTATTGTTTTGTTAAATTTTTAATTGTTACTTTCTTTGAAAGTTACTTTTGTTTTTTTCTTTTCATTAGTAAAGATAGTCATTTTTGTTAATTAATTTTTGGAAAGTTTTTGTTTTAAAAGACATTTTATATTTTATTTTTAAATTACTTATTTTTACATTGTCACGTGAAGTCGGCGAAGTATAAGTTTTGTATTTATCCGGCCAAATAACACTACTCTTTTTGTAATCTCCAGATCAAATTAAAAATCAAATTTTAAATTTTAATTCCAAATTGTCCGGCTTTCTATGACTTTCTTGTATAAGTTTGATTAATATCTGCTTAATATATAACATAGTTTTTTAATTTATTGTATGAGTAATGGAAAAATACCAATGGGTTGGCATTCCCCACCCCAAACTCTCTAGGTGTCGTCCATTGTTACATATTACTGTACGATTTTGTTCATATTTATTCATTCCGTCCTAATTTAGTTGTTTATTTTTTTTTTGACTGTCCCAAAATATTTGTCCAACTACCGAGTTTAAAGAACATATTTCACATCTTTCCATAAAATATTCTTAAAATTTAAAAAAATTTCAAACTTGATTATATATATATTTAAACTTGAAAGGGTAATTTTGTAATTTTCAAAAGTGACAATGTAATAATTGCATGTCCCCTTAAAAAGTTTTACTCCCTGTATAGAATATCTAATATGAGACAGAGGGAGTATTTGTTTAGGTATTTTTATTCATATATATATATATATGTGTGTGTAAAAAAAAAAAAAAAATGTTGAACAATTTTAGTTTAAAAATGGAGGACACGTATACATGATTTGATTGAGGGAGTGTATGGTATTGGTTTGTGGGTGTGGAGCGGGCGTTTGGAATACTTACTCTTGTAAACTAGAGTTGAGCTGAGGCAAAGGTGAGGGAAAAAAGGGCCAATAAATGCGAGCCAGCTATGTACTAGTCTCCAATGGACCCACACACATTAAGTCCTCGTCAGAACCGTCCCACTCTAATACGTGGCCTTTCCAGCTGGACAATAAGTACTACTCCATATCCCTCTATCTCACGCCGTTTAATACCGGGGCCCATCCGGATATGTTGTCGATATACGCGGTCGATATATCGTGATAAAACACGAGAATATAACGGGGCCCATCCGGATCTGTTTTGCTTTTCTTTTGAAATAATGTTATTAAGATTGAATTCTCTTAATACAAATTTTTTTTTTTTTAAGACATCTGAAAAGTTAAATATATCATTTAGAGTCTGTTTTGTAATTATTTTTGTTTTGGAGTGCGTGTGTATTTTTTTTTTTTTTTTTTTTCATAGCTACAAGGTTAAGAGTTAGTGTTTATAGGGAAAAGGGTAAGCGCAAAGCTCGAACATAATATATCCATAATTATTCGGACATACCTATTTTTAGAATGTATTTAAAGTAATTGGAAATCTATTTAATAACGTAAATTTTTTTAGAAGAAAAATATGAAAACATATTTGATAAAAAATATTGTTAAAAAAAAAAAAAAGCTACCTAAATTTTTTTTAGGTACTCTTCACTAATACATTATTTTTGCAAACATTAATTTATTGTTTATGATTTGAGCCTTTTTTAACAACAAACAGAACATTATCTCTTATTTAAATTGCAACAAAATTATCCATTCAACATTTTGCTTTGTTATAGTATACCACCCTTAACAGAAAACACAAAACAATATGGCCTTAATATATTTTTAAAATTTGTAATTAAAGAATTTAATGTGAGAAGAGCTCGTTTATTGTATTTGATAAATTGGGCACGTGATAAGTGTAAAACAGCTATTTTTGTGCCTTTAGGCTCCCCTCCTCCGTTGGTGATTGCGCGGTTATAACGGCGGTGTGTGAGAATATGAAGCTTGTGATTGGAGGCATCACTCAGGTCATGTGTCAGATTCTTCGTCGCTTTTTGTACCTCATTAATATATACGATATATAGGCGTGCATATAATAGACAAGTATATGTATGTATATATTAGCGACTCACAGAGAGGCGGTGAGAGATGTGCCGTGCGAGCGAGGTGAGTTGGAGGTGGACGATCACTCTCACAATCTGTGACTGTTTGACAGGGAAAAAGTGCCATTCCGTTTGTTTTTTTGTTTTTGTTTTTGTTTTTTTATATATATACAGTATACATATATATATATATATATATATATTATATATTTAAAAAGAGAGTCGTTTTTAAGCGGTAATCACGCAGGAAGTATGACCATCTCACCTTGGATCCATTCCCATTGTCGAATCTGGCAGAATATAAGCAGGCAATAGTTTCATGACACTGTAAATTATCATTCTATTATTTTGTTTGTTATTATTTTTAATATTTTGTAATTGGAGTTTGTGTAATTGATAAATTTTTTCACACTCATATATATATTTATTATTATTATTATTTTTTATAATTAGTACTCACACACATATCTCTACTGAGACTTAAACTTTTGATGTCACTTTAAAAAGTAAGAGTCTAATACCGTTAGGCCACTTGTCCGTTAGTCATATATATTTGTAATCATGGTTTGCAGTATCAGTTCGTGGTGTAACGAATTCTAATAAAATCAGTATAAATTGATTAATACGAGTCACGTATGACACTAAAAAAAAAAATTATATAATAAACGATATAGCGAGCCATACTTATAACTTTGCTCCTTCACCCTTCAAACTTTTGAAAAGGGAAAGAACATAGAGCCACCTAAAATTTTCAACTTGGCTTGTACTGAATTTTAAAAACGAAAATGTTTTCAGCCTCATTAATGTATGTTGACATTTTCCATGGGTAAATAGATAGAAGATATTGACCTAATGCTTAAATTGAAAAGTTTTTAACAATGTCAAACATGAAAGTGAAACTTTGAAATTTGTACTGAATTGTCTCTCTCTCTTTTTTTTTTTTTTTAATTATTCCATTATTTTATTTTATCAAATTCAATGTAGTCATATTAGTCAATGTTATATGTTGCAATACAATAAGAACTTAAGAAGATGTTACACATCATTCTCTCTCTCTCTGTTTTTTTTTTTGGGGGGGGGGGGGTTGGTTGAGTGGTCACATTTTTATTCATGAAACAAGTTGGATTATATTCCATTCCTGACATTTTTATATTTCACAAATTCTAAAGAGTACAAAGCATTACTTTTTAGATTAATAATTATTAGTACATCTGAATGACGCTTTGAAATAGTAACAGCACACCCACCAAAAAAATATATATGCTGTGGCAATAGAAACAGAAATACAAGTACATATATGTAGTTACAAAACAATGGGAGATGCCACACATTGACTAAAAGATGGCAGAAAGAGAATAGGAAGATATATATATATATACACACACACAAGCACACGGGTTAACAATATAAATAAAATTATTCACAACTCAAAAATAAAATATACAAATATATATACACACAAATTTATAATAACAAAAATTAATAAAATAAAAAAATTAATTGAAGAAAAAGAATCATTCAACTTGATTTAGAAAACTCAAATCTAATACTTCTACAAATTTTTCAACAAAATAAAAATATATTCATAACAACTGTAAACTTGTAATAAGAGTGCAATTTTCCAAACAACAAAGTTAAATAGATATTTAATATTTTAGTATTGGTGTAACTACCCAAAAATATTTTTAGTGCTGGCCTAAAAAACGTGAATGAGAGAGAGAGAGAGAGAGAGAGATTTTTGGGCCTAACATTAAATTTCCATATTGGTTAGGATTTATTGTAAAACGTAAATGAGAGTAGAAAAAGGGAGGGAAAAAAAGTCATATAAGGATGTAAATCTTTCGAGACCAATATTAAATTTATGTATCAATTAGAGTTCAACGGGAGAGATAAAAGAGAAAAAAAGAAGATATTTTAGAATATAAATTTTTTAGGGCCTAATATAAAATCGGAATGAACGAGGAGAGAAAGAAAAAAGAAAAAGAAATTATTTTAGGATATAAATATTTGAGGCCAAATATAAAGGCAAAAAAGCAAAAAAACATCCCTAAACTATACCATTATTGCATAATGCCTCTTTTACAAGTTGAGTGGTCACATTTTTATTCATGAAACAAGTTGGATTATATACCATTCCTGACATTTTTATTTTTCACAAATTCTAAAGAGTATAAAGCATTACTTTTTAGATTAATAATTATTAGTACATCTGAATGACGCTTTGAAATAGTAACAGTACACGTACCAAAAAAATATATATGCTGTGTCAACAGAAACAGAAAAAGAAATTATTTTAGAATATAAATATTTAAGGTCAAATATAAAGATAAAAGAGTAAAGAAACACCCCGAACTATACCATTATTACATAATGCCCCTTGAACAAGCTGAGTGGTCACATTTTTATTCATGAAACAAGTTGGATTATATACCATTCCTGACATTTTTATATTTCACAAATTCTAAAGAGTACAAAGCATTTTTATATTTTTAGAAACAAGTTGTCCCACCATTATTGCAAATTGTCTCCATAAAAGCCACTCGAGGCTAAATTCCAGCCAATAGAGACACACAATTACTAATATACCCTTTCGTAAAAATTTATTATAAAAGATATAAAATATCATAAGTACAAAATACTAATAATGTCCTCCTATTTTATATATATATTTCTTCATCTTCTATGCTGTCGATGACTGCCAATGTCTTCCAGGTTTCTGTGATCCATCGTTTTTTAAGCAATCAATTGGAAGGCAGGGTTTAGGGTTTAGTGAAATTATAAAACATGGGGACAATCAATTTGCCTAAACTTTTGGGAATTTCAATGTGGTTAATTATATGAGTTCAATTACAGAAACCTTATGTGGTAGATAAGAGCGATGATGATATCGAGTATGAGCCTGAACTGCAGCCGACTGTGGATGAAGAAGAAGAAAGTGAGATGATTGAATCTGACATTGAGCTTGAAGGAGAAACTGTGGAGCCTGATGACGATTCTCCATAGAAGGTTTTCTCCACTCACATTCCCATTTTTACTAAATTTTGATTTTAGCTTTTGATATTTTCTACATAGAAGTGAAAAAAAAAAAAAAAAAAACAATTATAACTTTGACAAGTGGATTTTGTAGATGGGAGACCCTTCCGTTGAGGTTATAGAAGAAAACCTTGATGCTTCACAATAGGCAAAGGCACAGGGCACGGAAGCAATTTCTCAAGGTTTTTGATTTTTGTTTGTATTTGCGAGTGTATAAATCTTATGCATGTTTATGTACAAGTGATTAAAGAGAAGTTTGTTGAATTCGTGGGTTTTGTGTTGATCAGGTAAGCTGGAGGAAACAATTGAGCATCTCACTCGGGCAATTTTGCTCAACCCAAATACGGCAATTATGTATGCAGCAAGAGGTAATGTTTGGTTTGACGTTTTCGCTGTTCCATAACTGGTTCATCGGTAGCATGGAAGATGAAAAAAAATATATGAGGGCATTATTGGTATTTTGTACCCATGATATTTTATATCTTTTATAATAAATTTTTAAGGAAGGGTATATTAATAATTGTGTCTATCTGTTGGCCGGAATTTAACCTCTGATTGTCTTTAAGGAGGCTTTTTGTAACAATGGTATAGTTCAAGGGGGCAACTTGCTTTCAAAAGTAGTTCAGCGCATTATGCAACAATGGTATAGTTTAGGGGTACTTTTTGTTCTTTTGCCTATAAAATCGAAACGGGTGGGGAGAGACAAAAAAATTTATTTTAAGATATAAATCTTTGAGAACTAATATAAATTTTTAATATTTATTAGTGTTTAACAATATTAAAAAATAATTATAATACTAGTATAACTTAATATAAATTTTTTTTAAAATTTTAGAACCTTCATATTAACTACATCCTTAGACAAGCGCCTAATTCCACACATACATATTTTGTCCTGGCAAAGAACTCCCACACTACAAACTCTCTAATTTGGCAGCATAAAACTTGGTCAAAGTTAAATTGAGTTGCCATCAAGGAATGCATGGCCTGGATCCTGCCCGTGACAAACGGTCATCATTGACCAACCAAATAATATTCAACAAGGCCACCTGCCACTTACTAAATCCGTCGAAACTTTTTCTTATCAAAATTCATCATGTTCATTAATGTTGATTACTGTGTGTACATTTACTTATTTATTTAGCTAGTAATAAGTAAATAATAATATATATTTACTTATTTGTCGAATGTTGATGACTGTGTCTATATTTAGCAGAATCTGAAGTAGTTCAGACTTCAAATTCAGGCCCAATATGGCCAAACGAGGGAAGAAACTAAATTACAAAAGAAGCTATAATTGGATTCAACGGATTTAAATGACTCTGTCAAGTCATTTCTTATATTAAGTTATACTATTATTATTATTAAATTTTCTTTAATTGGATTCAACGGATTTAAATGACTATCAAGTCGTTTTCTGTTCTTTGTTTTTTTGAAGGTATGCATAAAAAAAAATTTAATAGAGAAGTAGACGCTACTGTCAACCCCTATTCTCCGTCAAAAATACAAAAATGATGATTATAGTAACAATAAAAACTTACCCAAAATAATAATAATAAATTCTCCCCTCTTTTGATGCATGAGTCATGAGAAATAAGGGTTGTCTGTGAAGCAGCAGTGTAGTGCGCCTTGTAGATTGTTCATGTGGATTATAAACAATAACAACAAAGCCTTCTTATTCGCGAGAGTTGCATTAGGAACAGATAAATGAAGCACATTTGTACAGGAAAATAGGGCAAGAACAATCAACAAATGAATCTGGCAAAGAATTGATAATATAAGAAGCCAGCATTCCGTAAATGATCATAGAAAAGACGGGTAACATTTAATCCAAATTAAAGAAGCTAATTGATAACTTTACAACACCAACCATCCCATCCCATCCCCTTTTAATATATTAAACAAAGAGAGAAAAAAGTAAAGTCAATAAAAAAATAAAAATAAAAAATTGGAAAAAATTACAAGGAACACAGTAAAGGGGAACAATAGGAATAAACTGTTACAAGTTTTGAAATAATAGCAGTTGGTTTCCCAATTCCCATGTTGGGTCTTTTTCTCCATTTCTCAACGTGCCATTACTTCTATCCAACCGGGGCAGGGTTGATCTATTATGCAGCCACTGGTAATGTCCTTCACTTGTTCCCTTTTTTGTCTTCCCGAAGATACCCAACATTAGGTAATCAGATAAATCAGGCCAGCATCAAGACCCAAGGTACCACAAGGACATGTCAATGGATAAGATTCAGAATTTTTTTTTTTTTTTTTTTAAATGTGAATATACTTTAGAAAACGGGGATATCTCTGAACAGAAAGTAAACAAATGTATGCTTGTTTGCCAACACAAAAGAGGCATATATTGTTTCAATCTTTCCAGATTAGATTGGATTTTATTCCTAAAAAAAAAAATTATTCCCCTGGTCCAACAGCAGCAATTGGTTTATTAAACTTGGATCAACAATAGACATTGGACAGCTATCAACCATGTTTAATCAAATACATCAACAGGTAAAGTGTACTATGAATCAAAGGTAAAAAAATTGAAAAATTGTGTTCCATTTAGAGAGAAGACTGGTACAGCAGATAGGACACACCTCATGAATAGACGGTGAAAAACAGAAAATTTGTGCTTACCAAGCTATATCTTATCAAAATCATCATCATCAAAGCCGTCATTTCCATCATCTGAAAGACCAGAAATATGATCAATACACTGCAATTTAAAGCCAAATCAAAATTCAACAAACTACTTACTCCTGTTTCGAGTCTAATTCTTCAACATTTATAAAAATTATAAAGTAAAGATTCTATGCTTAAAATTCCCGAACTGCGTATCTAACAAGCCTTGCAGAAGTAGTAAAATATTAAAATATAACAATAATTGAGTACCAATGTCCTTTTGTTGAAACCTGTAAATCACAGAGAACATTATTTTTATAATGTCATTTTTTTTTTTCCTTTTGGGTCCAAGCTCATCTCCTTCATTTGACTATGAACAATGTTATGTTCTCTGCAGAGCAGTTGAACAAAAAGAGATTTATGCAACCTTTAAGGTGCCATACAGTCCTAAAGTTGTAAAAGGCAAGGCACACTAATGTGCCAAAGGCCTTCTGGAGCATAAAAGCGCAAGGCACAAAACAAGGTGCGCGCCTAATCGAAGTAATGTGTGTAATAATATTGCATATTTATATATATATTTTTTGATAAGTAATAATATTGCATATTTATATATATATATATTCAGAATCAAGAAATATCTACAGTTAATGTACGTAGCAAACCATAAATTTTATAAATTTTGCCAAATTTTTCGTAAGGTTAAACAATACTATATATGATATTGAACATCTTAATTTAATAGTCATTAAATTAAAAGGAAAATGATATAAATAAATTATTAAAAAATATAACGTGCGGCTTTTTTGAGCCTGGAGCCTACTAAAAAGCATGAGTTTGAGGACTTTATGTGAGCCTGACTGAAGGGGCCTAGCTGTACTAGGTTGAGTTCTCTAGCAGAGCCTTGACGAGCCTGGAGCTTTTTTGGAGCCTAGGCGTGCTTTTAACAACTATGATTATTACATTATGCTCAAGGAGGCAATTCATCAACTTGCATTGCACTAAGCAGCATGATTACATGGTTCTTGGCAACAGCTTCAAATTTTTTTCTTTTTTGGTTGAATAAAGATGAGCACACAAACTAAAAAGTCAATAAGCATCTATCATATACCTGGCCCCTCATCACTATCACCAAGGTCTCCCAACAGAAATACATCCAAGTCCTGTTCAGAGGTCTTGCTTTTCTTGTCCACTCCCTTTACCTCTGTTTTAGAAGTTGTCCCAACGGTGGAAGTTTCCTTCACTGCATCATCTTTCACTTGTTCATCAGATTTTACCTTTGCCTCTTCCATGTGGCGTTTTTCATACCTAAAACCATCAGATAAAATAAACTCCCAAACCTGAAAAACCAGTATAGTAGTAAAACCTACATAAATGTGTGTGAAACGCATGCAACCGCAATACAGATGCCCAAACACACTGTGAGCGATGAATATTCATTTCAACAGTTTTAGATCCAAATAGTCTCACTGTCCAATACTAACTGCACGGACTCCCAGGATTTGTTATTTTCATATTTTATGGATAGGAGTAAGCAGACAAATAAAGCTGAGCTGAAGCCTGTTGCCAGAATCTATGATCCATGCAAACTGACTTTATTGGAAATAAGGAGGAGAAGATTTATCTCCCAGTGTGTCATTTGAAGATTGAACGAGGGAGTGAGTTTTATTCTTGGGAAAAGTTTAGAATTTAAACTCAAAATTGCGAATAGTAAAGTACACATGCATGTTATGGATCCAATAATTCCAAATTAAAGAATTCATCACAATTTTTGTGATAAGGAGTCCAACAGGAATAAATTCATTCCTGAGAGAGTACAAACCCAGATAAACTTTTGAAGATGTCAACAAGTCAACAGGCTACAAGGAAAAATCACATAGGACATGCCTACAAATAGTTGAGAAACAACACAACACAAAGAAACACAACAACAAAACAATATTTCTTATTCAAAATGCTGGAAACTGATATTTCATGTAAAGCAAGTACTGTTCACCAAACTAAATGGCATTGAGATCTCTGTTGGTAGTTTCAAATGATATGTGGTGTAGAAAACCATGTAACCAATATTTTGGTAATCGCATAAATTGACATTTATCAATCACAAACTGAAAGCAATAAGCAAATGCCTTCCAGAGAAATAAACAAAACAAATGGAATAATATTGAATTAGATCAATTATAGAAACATTTTAGTTAGAAAGGAAAAAAAAAATTTGCAACTTATGTTGTTTCCCATAGAGAAAAATGAGCTGGGTCTTCCAAAATTTTGGCAACAAAATCAATCTATCAAACTTGGGATTGATTTTCTATAATCCAGTCTACACTTTTTAGAATCACAAATCCTCGTATTTGTAAAATGAAATCTACTAAAGGCACTGCCTATGGATCTAATGCGGTAAGAATACCTATTGACAGATCAAATTGATTTAGAGTATGAAGGCAATGAAAATCATTCAATCAGTACCACAAAATAAAAGTTTTCCCCAAAGGATAAGTTACTCACGGAGCCACATGACTGTTGACTAGAATAAAATATATCCTCCAAAACTTCCTTTCTTTCATCACACGCGGGCATAACTGATATCTCAACTTTGAGATTTCCTGCAGTATATCATCATATATTGTTACAAAACAATAATTCTGAAGCACAGCTAAGAAGTATTATAGCAAGCAAGTACAAGCTCTACACTACCTATTTGGTAATGCATGGAAGATTATGCAGAATGGATTAAACGATGCAGGTTCAGACACCAAATTTGGATGCAGCACATATTATTCCACTTTCATAAATAATTTTGGTACTTTTTCTCAACAATTTTCAATTTTGATATTAGTACACGGGATGCCTTGGATTTTACAACCAAATAACTAAATGAGTTACCACACGAGCACCAAGAACCAGAAAATTTTTACAAGGTAGGTCATCTCCCTTTGCATAAAGGAGCCCAGATCCAAGAAACCATGAGTGGAATTGGAGGGTGACAACAATATGTTCAATGTTAGCGGACCATAGAATACTAGTTCAAACACAGTAAGTTTCTACTTCCTGCAAGGCTTCAATACTTGAACATAATGGAAGCAGCAGGTAGCTTTTAGTAAAAGGAAAGGAATAACTACCTTGACTGTCGAGAGTACAAGTTTGGCATGTCTTTCTTGCCACTCAGTAAGATCCTGCCGAACATTTGAGACTGTGGGAATATTTGACATTTCTGAATCATCTGCACATCAAAAATAAAATTTAATTATTTTTTTTGATAAGTAAAAATATATTAGAAAGATGTTCAAAAATAAAATTTAATTATATGACGAAACATGAGGTAATGGTGAACAAATCTAACGATTATATACACATTGCATAACAATATATATGTTCTTTATATATTATATTGAGTACCAATATTTGCATTTCCACAGGGCCATAGCAACATGATAGAGAATTGTAATATTGCTCAGGTAAGTCTCTCCACTAGTGCTTTGTTTGGCAAGACGGATGGAAAAATGGATAGAAGAGAGGACAAATTGTGGATGAGACATCAATAGGGAAGGGACGGTGCCTTCTCCCTTTTTGTTTGGTTGAGTGGAAGGAGAAGGAGGTGAGTCAGGTGACACCTTTCCCATTTGGTAAGAGGGAAGGGAATGAGAAGTTTTATATTTGTTTTACCATTATATCCCCATTATTCAATTTAACAAAATTGATGAAGGGGTATATTATTGTTTCACATAATATATTATACTTATCATTCTCTTCCCTCCTCTCTTCCGTCCAATTCTAGAGGGATTAAAAAATAGTGGGTCAAGAGGGATGCCTCATCCATCCATCATTCCTTCCCCTCCAACGCTCACCTTGTACCAAACAAAAAAGGAGGTCAATGTTATTTTTCAAACTAGAAGGGAGGCCCTTCTAATTTTGGCAAACCTCAGGGTAGTACATGTACTTTATATCCTCTAATTTCATTCTTTCATATATTAGCAATCACACCTCCAGCTCAATATCCACTTTGGACCATTCTTATTATATGAAACTGTTGTTTCTTAGTTTTCAAAAATTATTTACATAAAATATGACCGGTCTTATAACTATTTTATAAGAGTTTCATTTCCACTATGCAAATTTTTGTCCCTATTGTCACAAACATACGATTCTTGGGGAGATAAAAAAATAAATCGAATCGAGCATCTACGTGTCTCTCTTCAAAGGGGGAAAAAGACTATACCCAACTCCCTCAACCATCGGTTGAGTCACTTCCTTCCACTCGCCTTACAAGGATCTACTGGACTATCGGCTTTAGATTGTCATATTCCTCCTTATCTTCCTATTTATAAGCCACATCTCACTTCTACGATTCCAATTTCCCATAGAATCTCTGGAGCTTTCCTAGCCACTATAGTTTTGTTTAATTACACAATCTACCAAAATTACATGCATATATTAAGGACACAATCTACCAAAATTATTCCTGCACTTAAGACATCCTACTTCAAATATATAGCTAGCATCTCACTTATCCATATGTATAAAATAATATATAAATAAATATATGAATAACATCTTTCCCCATCCTATGAATAATCGAGATTGGATTAATTAAAACGCCTACTCTTTGGTATCACTTGAAACCTGATCTTCACCACTTAAATTAGTTGATAATTAACTTTGCAAATAAAAAATTGTATGACTTGAGCTTTATGCGTAATCCTTCTATTCCAAGGCCAATAACAGTATCAAACTACAAATGTCTGAACTCAAAACAACCATGAAACTGCTAGAACTGGATTTATATTTTCCAGTTGTGATTTTTGAAAATTGTAAACAGCAACAATAAATTTGGGTATATCTTTCACTCATTTCTCAACCTTAATCTCAAGAACAAAGCGTCCAAAAAAGATTATGGTGAAGTCATGTTATCAACATAAACTATTAAAAGAATAATTATAACAAGAAAGCCAATTCATAACTTATGAATTTCATTAAAATCTTACCGAAGCTGCAAAAGGATAAACTTGACCAGATTAGCTAATATAAAAAGTTTACACAGTAGAGTAGAGGCTTATGCTATAAGAAGATCTACACAATGAAAACCGTTGAAAAACAGATTTTACATTGATTTTTATTTTCTAAATTTCTTAGCAAATGAACATAGCCCTAAAAAATTTATATCTAATATAAAACTAAGAAAGCAGAAATTTCAAACTTTGGCCGTTGAAAAAATGGACTCCTTGAGCCATTTAGGGCAACAAGTCATAAGATTTTCCATGGTACCTGGGAAGCATGGATACAAACACGGATACAAACACAGGACACGAGTACGGCATAATAAGGATACACCAATTTGACAAATTTCGAAAAAAAATAATAAAAAAAAGACATGGATACAGTAGGGACATGTCGAAAATAATAGTATAACATATTATAAAGTAAATAAAAAATAAGGTTTGCTCATTCTATCCACATTATCATGAACAAAATCACTCATTTGTAGCTTAGAAGTAGATAGGTGTTGTTTTTGTTTTAAAACTTTTATTTTTGTTATTTTTAAGCCATAATATAATTCAATATTGCATTAGAATCACGTTGTTCTAAGAAAAATAATTACAAAAAATACCACGTGTCGTGTCGTGTCCCTGCTGTTTCCAATCAAGAGAAAAAGAATTATATATCTATCTATCTATCTATCTATCTATATATATATATATATATATATATATATATATATATATATATATATAATTTCAGAACACTTCTAGCCATGTCCTAAGTGTGTCCTCCTATGTCAGACACTTGTTCAACACCACCACGGCACCCTTTGAAGAAGTAATGCTTCCTAGCTTGGTACCTAACTAGAAAAAGAGTTTAAAAACCTTTTTTTTCCCTGCATCCCTTCAGCAACATGATCCAACTTAAGAACAGTGCAATGCTAGGCAGATGAGCAAACAAGATTTTTTTGTTTCCAGAAAACAAATGTGCGTATTTGTTTGTGTTTGAATAGTCTCAGCTACATAATTAATTGTACAATTCAAAGTATTTGTTTGTGTCTATAGTCTCAGCTACGGTACATAATTAATTGTACTATTCAAAGTTCAGTTGATATTTTATTGATTTCTTAGGTTCCAAACCGTAGATTCAAAACCTTAATTACTTTCTTTCTTCACGTTTTTCAGCAGCCTAATGTAGCTTTAGAATCACTAAAGAACGAAAACGACTCACATTGAAGTTCATTTTGATTGTTAAGAAACCTATAATACTTTTCGCTATTTGAAAGAGCAGAAACATGGAAATGTCGCCGCAATTGGTAGCATAATTCACATTAACTGAGATTCAAATAACTAATTCGTTTTAATCCACAACACTTTCTCAGCAACCAAACACATGGAGTAAAATTAAAACAGAGATGACCGGATCCAGTACCTTCCAGTGGAAAATCCTCAAACGTATTCATTGTAATCTCCTTCACGAACTCCCTCAAATCATCCGTAACCCCAAACTTCTCCAGATCCGCCACCTCCGCCGCCTCCGCGGAAGGCTCGACAAGCGACGAAAGAGCGCCCGATCGCTTGATCTCCTCGGCTCGCTTCAGTGCCTCGACCTTGATCTCCTCGGCTCGCTTGGACGCCTCGACCTTGAACTGATCGGCTCGCTTGGACGCCTCGGCTGCGATCTCCTTGGACCGCTTCGACGCCTCCGAGACAATGTCGGATATCTTGGAGGAGCCGATGGTGAGGTCCTGAGAGCGTTTGGCGGCTTCTTTGGTGAGCTCTTGAGATCGCTTGGCGGCTTCTTCGGCGAACGTTCGAGCTTTTTGCCAGAGATCCATGGTTCGGTCTCTGCAATTTCCTGATTCCGATACAGATGTGATGACGACTATGAGAGAGATGATAACAAGACGGGATTGAGGTGGGATAGAGTGCGTGCGTCGTACGTTTAGGGAGGTGAAACCGTGGAAGCGGGCCTGTCATTCAACCACGTGGTGTGGTTGACCATGTCATCTAGTAAATAGATGGGAATTTCCACGCTATTTGAGTGAGTGGCAGACGGCAGTAGTTGGTGTTGACCAAAGTATACGTGCCGCGGACTTTCTTAGATCCGAAAGACCTTTCCACTGACTCCCGGCCCAACATTATGTTAATTCTATTCAATCAACCGACACAAGATTAGGCATGGGTGACAAAATTAGGAACAACTGCACTCAAACTTAACTTGAATTATTATTATATATTTTAAAACTAAAAATGAAGTTAGTGACTTTTGAATTTCTTTAAGAAAATGATAAAACATTTTAGGTGTTAATAGTTAACTTAAATATTTTGAAAGACAAAGAATTTGTCTTTATCTATCATTAATTAAGAGTTATAATGGGATTAGAGTTATTGGAATGTGAAAAAAATGAGTTTACAACCATAGCATTACTTTCACTTTATCGTATCCATCTCATTAACTTTGTGTATATATATAAATTAGAGTTTAATTTTATAAATTAATAGTATAGATGAGTGTATAATTTGTGCCAATATTTAAAAAGAGAGAAATACAAATTTAAAGAGATTTTAAAAAAAATTTAATATAGAGGAAGAGTTTCTCAATGATTGCAGCATGTACTAGTGTGTATCAGGTCATTTACAACGGTCTCTTTAAAATTTTGCTTTATAAATTAGTCATATCAATTTTTTCAAGAGCTACGTTAGTTTTTTCAAGAATCATGTAGACAACTTCTATTCTTCAAATTTTGGGGCTATAGCAACTTCTCAAAATTTTAGCTCTCTAAAAAAAAAAAATTTTTTATAATATATATATTTATTTATTTATTTATTTACCAACGGCTATATATATATATATATATATATATATTTAGCCCAAAAAAAAACTCAGTTGTTCATCATTTTATATAATACTCTTTCCGTCCAAAAAAAGGAGCTTTTCTTTTAGGGAATCGTGACTCTTTAATTTGTGAAAGTCATAATTCTCCAAAAGAGACTCTTTTTGGGGCAAAGGGAGTAACTTATTTGCACATTATCTAATAATCATCACTACATTAATCTAAAAATAATACATTACATTATAGAATTTAAAAAATATATATATAAGAAAAAATAATGCAATATCCATTATCATTGATTAAAAACAATTACAAATAACTAAAATAATACAAAGTGAAAAAAAAACTGTTTTTTAGGTTAAAAAATATATAAAAAAAGAGTTTTTTTATTAATTTTTTTTATTGCTGTTGCCCCAAGGATTAAAAAAATAAAATAAAAATAAATAAATAAATAAAACAGTTACTTTGGCGATTGCTAGGTTGATCGTCGGATACCATGAATATTATCAAGAGCGCCCTTTTGGGTTCCACCATCATGCGAGGGTGCTGTAGTCCAAAATTGTCCCAAGGCCTTTGACAATTGACAAGGCAATTGGAGATGGCCTTAGGGTAAGGCGTTTTTCAAAGAAGATGGAAGAGTTTTTTAATAATTGGTATATTAATGAAAAAAAAAATTAAATGTGTACACTTTCATAAGTAGTATGTAATCTATAAATAGGTCTAGTACAGTACACTTTCATTCTATGCTTTTTTATATTATTAATAATAATCTACAATCGAAGAACTTGGGAATTATTTTTTTATTTAGGATGAGACACTGGACACCTTTATGCGTATTTTAATAGGCAACTGAAATATCACCCTCTGACAAAATCTTCGTAACTTGAGGGGAACCATTTGAAATTTTAAAGTCTTTTTGGTGCCCAATTTTTGTTGAAACCTATTAGCACCATCTCATGTAAAACCATTTGATACAAAGTCATTTAACCTATGGGATTTCACAAATTATATATGGATATATTATTTAACGTTTATTGTTTTATTAAGTGCCTTGTGACCTAGATATATTTTATCTACTTTCTTAAGTGGACAGTGAGTATTTAAGTTTTCAAAATGACTCTGTTGAGTGATGCATGTGTACTAAACAATACCATATTGTTTCAAATTTTATAAAATGGTAATTTTGTCATTTTCTTGTATAAAATATATTATTATAATATAAGAACATTATGTCTTTTTACATTCAAAGTGCCCAATTTCAATAAACTAATTTACTAAAGACCAAAATGATAAACATTAAATAATCTATTGATAAATAATTTGTACAAATCCCAATGTATTTTATTCTATTTTATTCCTGCTGTTCAAGAATTTCTTTTTTATTTTTTATATTTTTTTCAAAGTGCAATATGATAAAATATTAGGCACATTGTAAATTGAGAAAAATTAAACTAATATTTGTAATTTAAGTCACACAAAGAAGGCGGTAAAATTATATTATAAATAGTGAAAATTTAAGTAAAATTATGCCCCAAAGGTATAAACGACTACCGTTAAAAAGTATTGCTTGAAATTAGAGCCCATTGTATCAAAGAAGCAATCTTGGTGTGGTACCCTAAAAACATGTGGACAAGTTGAGTAGTATGCATGTCCCCTTATAAACAACATCTGTCATGAGTCAACCCCGATTAGATTTGCCCCCACAACACGTGTCATATAAATTGATCTTTTACTCACTCACCCATTCATGCATTTATCAGAGATGGAAGGTTAATTTCCGCAGTTTCTTCTATTCACTACCCTAGATTTCAAAATGTCTCCATCCATCATAACTAATAAACATCATCCAGATCTCTTTAGCAAACAGACAAGTTCTACATCATTGCTGTAGTTCTAATCCATCTTTCCTATATTTTGTTGGCCTTTACTAGGAAGTAGAAACCAAACCAAACCAAACCAACATAAACCTCCTATATGTTTGGAAAAGCTCTCTTCGTCAGCATTCTACTTTGGGGAATATGGATAAGTTCAATGTTTGGCGCCGCTTTTACTCTCTCACAAGGTTCATTTCTTCCCTTTTGCTTTAACTTATTGTGGGTATTGTGTGTGTAATGGTTATTTTATTATGATTTTCAGTTTTATAGAATTTTGAGTTCTAGGGTTTGTGGAAAATGTTGGTATTAAGCATGAATTCAAAGAGACAGAGGCGCCCAAATGTTAGGTTAGGGGAAATAGGAGATGCTTCTGCAGCTTTTGCATGTGGTGTTTCTAGGAAAGACGAGGAAAATTTGGTGCAAAAGAGATGGGAACATGATTTCCTGAACCCTAAAGAATTGGGAAACAATCCAATTTGTGGCTTCTCTCAGCAAAAATCGTCTGAGTTCTCAGATCTTGATGTATCTCTGAGGACATTAGCTGATGTGCAACATAATAGAGAGAGAACGAAACCAAAATCTTTGAAATTGGTTTCTGAATTCCCCAGTTCAGATGAAATTGATTTGAGCAGGAGTGAGCTAAATTTTGGAAGGATAACCAAAAAGTGTAGGCTCAGACGAAAGCGGAGCACAAGAAGCACTTCTTGTGTTTTTGGTGGCACTTGGAATTTAAAAATTAGTCCTGAAATGAATAGTGAAGATGGGAAGGAGTGTGCAAGGAAGGAGTCTGTCGGGTTCACATCGAATGCTTGCTTTGGTCTTCCCCATATTGATGGTTTTAAGGATTATTCAGATTATGAAAGTTCAGCGACGAGAAATTTTGAGAATGGCATCTATGAACTCACTTTTGGTGGGCAGAGGCAAGGGACTTCCATTCAGCTTACAGAGGAGGGTGCTTATTCTGAAGGTAACAATGCCTTTCCCCAATCTTTTGGTGAATTTGAGAAGATAACGACACCCATCCCTAGTCAACCTGATGTAAATACTGTTAGGAGATGGTTGGAAGACCTTGGGTTTGGTAAGTATGCTGGTGTATTTGAAATGCATGAGGTAGACGAAGAAGCTTTGCCCTTACTTACTTTAGAAGATCTCAAAGAGATGGGTGTGCTTGCTGTTGGGCCTCGGCGGAAGTTATACACTGCAATTCAACAACTAAAGAGAGCCAAAGAAAGGGTTTATGCATGACAGAGTACTCAATGGAACATATAGGTAATATTGCTGTTTACAGCTCTTTGTGAAGCAAAGTCACAGATGTATATATAACTTTTTGAACTTACAACAATATCTCAACTGAAAGTCGACAAGTGAAGGGAGGCAAAGAAAGGTTATATGCATGACAGAGTACTCAATGGAACATATAGGTAATATTGCTGTTTCCTGCTCTTTTGTGAAGCAAAGTCACAGTTGTATAAATAACTTTTTGAACTTATAACTTGTTCTCAACTGAAAGTCGACAACTAAAGGGAGCAAAGAAATGGTACATGCATGACAGAGTACTCGATGGAAGATATAGGTAATATTGCTGTTTCCCGCTCTTTTGTGAAGCAAAAGGCCACTGATGTATATATAACTTTTTGAACTTATAACTTGTTCTCTATGTTTATAGGTAATATTGCTGTTTCTAGCTCTTTTGTGAAGTAAAATGTCACAGATGTATGTATATATGACTTTTTGAACTTGTAACATGTTCTCTATGTTTTTTCCTTTCTTTATTAGCTGAGATAGGATAAATCACTCATTTCATACAATTTTTGGTATATGTAAAATCTTCTTTAGTGTTCTCTTTGCCCCTTCACCAACCTTACTCAACTATGAGTAGTAAAATAGAGCTTACTGATATGATAACTACTTGACTTGCACCTTGTCTTAATTTACAGATTCCTTTACTCAATGCATTTATTATAGCAGAAGTTTCTAACAATTAGATTGGGGTACATCATACATCTTTAATCCTAGGTGTTATGTGTGAAAATAGTTCCAGAGAGTGTTTTCCAACGAGTGATGTACCAATTTCTTAGTCGAAAAGATTCTTTATGATCAGAATGATGATGGGGCCTGCCCACAGACCCTACAAGAAATTAACTGTGGACGATATGCAGATCTAAATGTTTTAGCAATATACGATGTGGATCTAATTCACGAAGTGTGTCCTAGACTCAGTATTGGAAAAGACCTTGAGGTATCACTATATATACTCTTATCAATTAACTGTGGATGATATGCAGATCTAAATGTTCAAGCACGCACTGAACTCTGTTAGTGTGTTTTATTTCAAAATTTGGCAGTGCCTGAGAATAAATGATAATTACCCAACTAAAAATCCTGTGTTGATATTTTTGTTGTCTACAACCTAGATGTCAAATGGAAAGTGGGTTCTAATTACAGTTTCAATAGGCATTTAATTGATTATTTATCATGAAAATTGTCCTTAGAAGAAAAATGAGCAAACAGCCTCTATGACGTTGCCTCTTCATCTTTATGCTGATTAATCACTGCATGCCACTTCATGATTGGAGAGGGAATTTTATCTCTCACCAACAAACTGGAGGTACCTCTTGTCCTCTTTTTTCTTCTCATGCATGGTATTTGGCGTTGCTTTTGTTCATATGTTGTTAGATTTTAGTTCAGACCCAGTTCCCTTTGCTAGTTCTTCTTGCTATCTCTCCATTGGAGTTTGTTAAGGTGCACTGTGCTTTGAGATGTTTGTTACCTTTTAAGAAGATGTTAGATATCCCTCATTTAGGTGAAGTTTGATGTTTTTTTTTTCTTTTTCCAAATGGTAGAGTTTAGGCTTATCTTGTTACTTGCAAAAATATTTTCTGATTTTTTTTTTTTTTTTTTTTTCAAGTCTTGAAACCTTGACCTGGAACTTAGAAGTTAAGACCCAAAGCCACCAAGGCAGAGGTAGACTGGCTGTCCTTGTCTATACTGGACTTTATTGCCCTGATTAGTTTAAAATTTTCTTACATATTCATAGCTGGAAAGAAATATGACCTCCCCAATTTATATTCAAAATGAGTTGATTTTCCCATTGTTTGCTCTTGTCAAGGTGGAATTTTCCTTATTCACAAGCTAGACTTCACTTCTAAGCTAGCAGCCTAGCACTGTATTGTAGCGTAGGGTGTTGGTTCTAAAGTAAGTAGGAGTTGCAATTAGATTTCCTGGAGCTGGTTCCCATGAGAAATGATGCTTGTGAATTGGCGACTATGATACTTATACCTTACTTCTGTAGTTCCATTCAGTACTTGAATTGAAAATCTTGATATGAACAATGTGGTGGCTGGTGTTGCACCTCTAGCATCTACAATTTAAAGGACAAGCACCTGCATCATGCCCCTAGAAATGTTTCTACTTTCCTTGAATGAAAATTATTTTCACCCAGCCAATTGCACCAGCTTTAGTTTTATTTCATGTACCGAAATTTAAAAATCTATTAGATGGATGGCACAAGCACCTACAAGAAAATTTTTATCTGCTTGTCGCAAACTCATTGATGCTTATTCTATAGTCATTCCTAGACCTTGGTCAACCATCTAAGTGGTTGCTAATAAATATATTTTTTTGTCATGTTTGTGGATGATAAAACTCTGTTAGATGAATCGAACAACTTTCACCAACCAACAAATAATTTTATTTTGTTGCTGGAAATTTTGCACTGACCAACAATAATTCTATTTTGTTACTGGAGGCTTTGCACTAACCAACAAATGATTCTATTTTGTTGCACAGTGTGCACATTTTGCATTCAAGACCCTGCATTTAGTTTTGCGGAAATTGATGTTCAATCTTGATGAAACTCAAGTTCAAAATTGATACCCGAAATTGATACCCGCATTGATGAACTTGTTTGGTAATCTTATCGTTTGGATATCAGGATAAGCTTGTGAGTTGTGACACTATTTCGCCTGCCTCATGCAGATTATGATGTCTAGTATATTTGCCTTTGTTACCATTTTGTATGGGATTTTTAGATAGTTTAACTCTCTCCTCTCTCTCTCTCTCTCTCTCTCTCCCTCTCTCTCTCCCTCTCTCCCTCTTTTATTTTAAGTGATTATTGAACGCATTAAGGTTATGTCTGCTTTGGTAGAAATTGTCATCAAGGAGATCAGCAGTGTTGGGGCTTATACTTGTAGTTGTTTTAATTATCATCCAATGAGTAAATTATTTTGTCTGGCTTGTTTCCCCAAAAATGCAAATTGGTGAACCTGTTTGAAGCAATTCTAGAGTTTATGATAAACAGAAATGGATTTTCTTGTGACCCAGACAGTCATGAAAGTAGTCTTCAGGATATGACTGTTTTGATCCCAGAATCTCCTAATGGCCAACAGAGACCAATTGCATTAAACAAAATCCCAGTCCCCACCAGGCTTGACCAGGAAGACTTCTATGCAGGTATATACTGGCCCAAACCTGTTTGACTTTTGAGTTTTGGAATAGTACTACTTAATTTGAACATGGAATATTTCATTCCTTGTTTCTGTAAAAGCCTGAGGTGGTTTGTGACTAGAGAGTTTAGTCCTCCGGTTTAATGTCAAACTGTAGTCCTAAGTTGTTGTCCATTATTACTAACATTTTGTTGTTCCCATAGATGATGATTGTTTCAGGTTTAATGTTGGATTGTAGTCATAAGCCGTCTCAAGTTACTACCCTAAACAGTTAGTAGAAGTTGCTTGGTGCTGACTAAAAACATTTTCTGTGTACATGGTTTCGTGCCAGGTTGGAGGATACTGGCGATCTGTTGACTGCAAAATATTAGGGCCTTCTTCATAGGTTTCCAAAAGAAATTTCTTGTGCATATTGCATTTCTCCTATATGAAATGTATCTGCTACACCTCTCTAGCATAATCTTCCAACCCATTGAGTTTTCCAGTACTGTGATTTTTTTCCACTTTATGGTATCAGAACAGGCTTTTTAAGAGGGTAGCAGCATATTCTTCGTCAGCATGAACAATAATAAAATAGTATTATTAAGGTTGAGAACTCAGGTTGGATGACACTTGGTATGAATACGAGTCTAAAAATCTGGTTGAAAACATCTAGTAAGCATACTATTGTTTATGCATTTTTTTTTGATTAGTAATACTATTGTTTATGCATAAAACTCTCTTATTATGTTTCTGTGTTACATTATTGTTTGAAACCGAGTGATGAAACAAGTGTAGTACCCTTGCTGAAACACCCTTATGTCTCATGAAAACACCATTTTATACTAAAAAATAAAAGTAGAATGTTAAAACAATAAATTTTTAGCTGTTTTCCATATCTTTGGTTCGGGGATTTGATAAACCGACACTTTGACATAGACTATAACTTTGTAGGACTGGCTTTCCCGGCAAGTCTTCGCAAGTTGTAAAGGTCTTGTTTTAGTATATCATTTGGGTGATGGGCACACCTTAATTTTACTTATTATTTCTTCTCCAAGAAGGTGATTATCCCCATACTCTGCGTTTTAAAAATCAATGAAACATAATGAAGCATAATATAAATATGCTTACACGTACTTTTCCTTATTAAAGAATATGATTTAACATCCAATTATGGAATATGATTTCTGAAGTTTATTTTGGTCAAAAGTCTTGATAAGCAAAAGGTTAAGAACCTCAGATAATAAAGTGTGAGTAAATAATTTGAATTTGATAGATGCTATAAAAGACTGATGAATTAGGAAACAGAAGTATTTCATGGATGAGAAATTTTGCAACTGTTTGATCAAATAAGAGCTAAACTAGTTCTTCCAAGGAGCCATTGCCTGGTGCAATGGTAAAAACTCTAGTTAACAAACACGAGGACGTTTTTATTTGTATATGGAGAGGATGCCGTGTGAGTAGCGCTGTTTGCGATTATTGGAAAGTTGTACCACATTGTGTTTGGTGGTGCATTTGGAAGTAGAGGAATAGTGGAATGTTCGAAGGGAAAGAATCGTCCACGGCAATTCTGAAACTTTACATCATACGCTTTCTTTTCAGTTATGTGAAGAGGAAGTCTTGTTCTTCTTCCGAAGATTTAGTTATTTTTTTGGCTTCTTTGGGATCTTAATCTTTGGTTCCACTTTTGTATAAGGGATGCGTTCCTTTCTTGAACGCCTATTTTATTTCAATTATTACTTATCAAAAAAAAAAAAACAAACAAACGCGAGGACGGGACTTAGAGCGTAAGTGCAGCTATTTTGGTGAAATAATCCGAAGTTTAGATCCATCTCCTGTTTTTATTTTGTAGTAGCACTCAGTAGGAAAGGCCAGCACTGTGCAATGGACTTTTTAAATCAACTATTTTTTAAACTTTGATTTGTAGTGAAACTTCGATCATTTTAGAGAATGGACTCTTTTCCTAAAAGTATAGTATCTGCTTGTCTGTCTGATTTGAAAAGCTGTTATGAGGGCTTCTAAGCTTGTGACGATTTTCAATGGCCAAGAAAAACTGGCAGGAGAGTCTAATGGTTGTGGTGAAGTGATTGTAATATAAGAAGCTGTTTGGTGCAAGAGACAGATAAAGAATTGACATGAAACAACCATTTTCTTATTGTGGAAATGACAGATACTAATATTATTTGCTTATTGTGGAGTTGACAGATACTAGTGAATCTGGTGAGGTGATTGTGAAGATGGTGACACTACTAGAAATTGTTGGATGCAAACGACTGGTAAAGAATTGACATCAAATAGTTATTTGGTTATTGCCATGAATGCCTTCCGGTGGATTTCAGTGCCTAAACGACCATTCTGGTTCATTGTTTGACTTCATTGGGGCATGTTGATCCCACTGGGTTCAGAATTTACCGTCATAAATATTTGATTTCTTTTAATGAAGATGTGGATGGTTTATATACATAATTACATATATATTGCAATGATATTGGCTAATTAATCATTATGTTGCAGCTATAAGGCTTTCCTGGCAGAAATTGAACCCCCTAGAATTAGCCCTATTGGTAATATTAGTAGCAAGTGTTTATATATCACACATACACACATTTATGATGAACACTGCAAATATGAACCAAGTTTTTCAGATGGATGGGTGTATAAGTGTATATAAACTTTAAAACGCCTTGGTTTCAAATGTGATGAACGTTGCTAATGTGTTAAGTTAAATACTTTAAAGCTATTCCTTTTACAGTAATAGGCCGTTTTAACTCCAAGATGTTAATTCGGTGCTCTCAAACATAACAATGATTTATTTTTATTTAAGGAAGAGAATCTCTCTCTATGGGCAGATTTCGAGTTTATATATGTGATGAGAAGAAACTTGTCTAAACTAGTAAAATAATCAGCAGTAAAACTTTAAAACGCTTTGGTTTCAAATATGATGAACGTTGCTAATGTGTTAATTGAATTCTTTGAAGCTGTTCCTTTTACAGTACTAGGTCGTTTTAACTCCAAAATGTCAATCCGGTGCTCTCAAACGTAACAATGGTTGATTTCTATCTAAGGAAGAGAATCTCTCTCTATGGGCAGATGTCAAGAGTTTATATATGTGATGAGAAGAAACTTGTCTAAACCAGTAAATAATCAGCAGTAAAAGTTAGTCTACGTTTTATTCATTTTGGTCTGGTCTTGGTTTTGTTGTCCTCTTCTTTCACTGGTTTGAAGTTTCAGTTATCTACCTTCACACAGAAACACATATTACTAGGAATCATTTGATTAAATGAGTGGTCTACCACCTTATTATGTGAGGCACGTGGTAGACTCTTGTTGAATTCAATTGTGGTCCCTGCCGACAAGACTTGAGTGTATTAATCTAATTGACTTTGTTTTAGTTGTTGGAAGGTCCATGTTAATCCCTATTGCGTGTGTAGACGTTGATATTGCTCCTAAACATTATTGAGATTTTATTTTTTCATAAA